CATCTCGCCCGGCTTGTTCCCCGTGATACACTGCCGTGGCCGCGTGACCGTCTCGTTATGGTCCCATGCTCATAAGATTATGGAGATAACAGTGTCATAGGGTGCAGTCGTGTATGGGCAATACGGAGGGGAGTACTTTGTACTTTAGTGGTAGTGTCTGACGCCAAAAATCCTTACTCCAAGTCGACCGAGCAGCGATTGAAAAAATACGGAGTGAAAAGCCGTGGTGCATTTTGGTTGCAGGAAGACAGACTTTACTAATTGGCTGTGTCGGGTGATGATGGGTTAAACGACAATTGTAAATACTTACGCTATCTCACCAAAAACAACCCTGTGTTATGGATGATATTGGTCGCTAAAGCTTACGTGTTACACAGACAGACGAGGACCGCGACGCGAGTCGACACGCTACGTTCACAAGGCAAAGGCGCCGCCCTGCAATTGCCTGCTCACGCCACTGCCGCCTGAAGGGTCTCCACTCGAGGGGCTCGAGACGGACACACACACACGGCTGGCCCACCTCGTCTGCGAGGTGGCCCGAGGCTGGCGGTGCCGTTCTCGAAGTTACCTCGCGGGGGCCGCTCGGAACCCAGCGAGCCGAGTTCAATTCCCGGCGCCACGGCTAACATCATCGACCTAAAATCAACAATCGACCCAGTTCAAGCCGCACTCACCGGCGTGGTGAAGGATGATCGGAACACCCACCGTGGCCGACATGACCGACATGAACAGGACTTCCTTTGTAGACAGAGAATGGCTGGATTCTCGTCAACGTCATCACCATCATCGATGTTGTCACGCGCGCAGAGAGCGGCAATCCTCTCTCGGACACTCGCAATCACCGACAAGCAGCACACCGCCACCACCACCACCACCACCACCTCGGGGTCAAGCGCGGCACACAACGTCGAGGAGATCTCCAGAGAGAGACGGGGACGCTGCAGAGTTTACCGGTGAGGCACGCGGCACGCGCTTTAAATGGGACACCATGCGAGTTGCAGGCACCGGGCACTGTGCATTCAGCAGCCCCCCCCCCCCCCAGCAGCCCCCCACACCCCTCCCCCCACCACGCGCAGCGCAGTGGCCGAGCACAAAGACAAAGATCCCCCGTATAGTCTTCGCTGGCTGTCGGTTGGCAAGTGCACCGAAGTGCACCCACACCCCCTTTCCTCTATAATGGATATCGGTCACGACAGCCCACTGCTACTACTACTCCGTGTTAGACGCACCTGTGAAGGTCGGCACGGCGCACGAGGTTGCGGTGTGGTCAGAACCACGCCCGGCCGCCTTTGTCTCCTGATGTGGTTCCCCCCCTCCCCCCCGCACCAGGTACTCACTCAAGCCGAGTCGGTCGCGCGGGAGGGTTCCAGACATTGGTCACTGACGTTGGCCGTGAGCGGCATTTGGAATTGCAATGGGGTCACCGGGTTCGTAACTGGCCAATACCACCACGGCGCCTGTGCCAGGCCAGGTGCACCTTGAGGCTACCACGTGAAGTGTCGATGGCTCGCTGACAAGAGGTCACGGGACAGACCCTGCAGGTGCCACGGGTTGATTGACTGATAACACGCACGCACACACACACGTGTCACGCACGCACACACACGCAACACATTCCAGAACTTCCCCCAAAAATAATGTAATGATTTATGTATAAATACGCGACGTTTCGGGCAATGGTCCTTCAGAGCAGAGTGCACAACTGCCCCGCACACACTGGTATATAAATACTCCCCGTAAGGCAAAGATCCCCCTATAGCCTTCACATATTTTGGGGGCAAGTGCTCTTAGCGACCACCTATTACGGCCGGCACGGCACACGACGAGGGGGTGGGTGGCCAGCACCACGCCCGACCACCTTTGTCTCCCCAGTGGCGATGTTTAAACATTCCACTAGTACTCATTTGAGGCTGAGTCGACGTAGGGGAGGCCAGTTCAGAAAATCGTCACTGGCGTTTGCCGTTGCGCAGCGCCCGAACCACTGCGCCACCACTCCTCTATAAATGCTCCTCTCATACACACACACAAACACACACATGCATACACACACACCCGTGCGCACACACGCAGCAGCTAATCGTGCAGAAGGCGATAACAAAACGCCCAGGCTTCACCCGCGCATCGCGCCGAGATTAATGCATCGCCGGGGTTTGTGAAATCACAATCATCACCGCACGCCCCCACATGGCCACTCGCGCCCGCCCGCACACACACACGTGTCACTCACACACACGTGTCACTCACACACACACGTGTCACTCACACACACACGCGTGTCACTCTCACACACACACGTGCCACACACACACGCGCGTGTCACTCACACACACACACGTGTCACTCTCACACACACACGTGTCACTCACACACACACACGTGTCACTCACACACACACGTGTCACTCACACACACACACGTGTCACTCACACACACACACGTGTCACTCTCACACACACACGTGCCACACACACACACGCGTGTCACTCACACACACACACGTGTCACTCTCACACACACACGTGTCACTCACACACACACGTGTCACTCTCACACACACACGTGTCACTCTCACACACACACGTGTCACTCACACACACACACGTGTCACTCACACACACACACGTGTCACTCACACACACACACGTAACACACACGTGTCACTCACACACACGCGCGCAACACACACGTGTCACTCACACACACACGTGCCACACACACACACAAGCGTAACACACACGTGTCACTCGCACACACACACACGTGTCACTCGCACACACACACACGTGTCACACACACACGTGTCACTCTCACACACACGTGTCACTCACACACACACACGTGTCACTCTCACACACACACACGTGTCAATCTCACACACACACGTGTCACTCTCACACACACACGTGTCACTCTCACACACACACGTGTCACTCACACACACAGTGTCACTCACACACACACGTAACACACACGTGTCACTCACACACACGCGCGCAACACACACGTGTCACTCACACACACACGTGCCACACACACACACGCGTAACACACACGTGTCACTCGCACACACACACACGTGTCACACACACACACACGTGTCACATACACACGTCACTCACACACACGTGTAACACACACACACGCATGTAACCCACACGCAGGGACAACGCTCCGTTCTCCTGCCGCCTGCGTTGGCCGCCCCTTGGGCTCGTCTCGCACGCAGCCAAGCGGCACCACGCGCGTGCCAGCAGCGTGCCAGCAGCGAGCCAGCAGCGTGCCAGCAGCGAGCCAGCAGCGAGCTAGCAGCGTGCCAGCAGCGAGCCAGCAGCGTGCCAGCAGCGAGCCAGCAGCGTGCCAGCAGCGTGCCAGCAGCGTGCCAGCAGCGAGCCAGCAGCGAGCCAGCAGCGAGCTAGCAGCGTGCCAGCAGCGAGCCAGCAGCGTGCCAGCAGCGAGCCAGCAGCGAGCCAGCAGCTGTGCCAGCAGCGTGCCAGCAGCGAGCCAGCAGCGAGCCGCCCCCATGGGGGACACGGGCGGCAACGAAGCGGCCTGGCAGGCGTCCGAGCCGGCGCGGGGCGCGATCGGCTTGAGCGCCGCCAGCAGTGCGTCGCACCGCTCTCTCCTCAGAGCGCGAGTACGATCGGTCGGTCTGTCCGCACGTTGACAAGGATCGTGAACCACGTGGTGGCTGGTCGGTGGTGCACTGGGCGAGGCGGATCGCGTGCACTGCATCAGCATCCCACCCCCCGTGATGCGTTGTGCCCACCGCAAGCCGCGCGATGGGCTGCAGAGTGAACCCTGCACTGTGTGCCCTGCGCTCCTGCAACGGAGCAGTGACGAGGAACAGCGACACAACATGAACTCACTCTCTCTCTCTCTCTCTCTCACGCTCTCTCTCTCTCTCTCACGCTCTCTCACGCTCTCTCTCTCACACGCTCTCTCTCTCACGCTCACTCTCTCACGCTCTCTCTCTCTCTCACGCTCTCTCTCTCTCACGCTCACTCTCTCTCTCACGCTCTCTCTCTCACACGCTCTCTCTCTCACACGCTCTCTCTCTCACACGCTCTCTCTCTCTCTCACGCTCTCTCTCACGCTCACTCTCTCTCTCACGCTCTCTCTCTCACGCTCTCTCTCTCTCACGCTCACTCTCTCACGCTCACTCTCTCACTCTCTTTCACGCTCTCACGCTCACTCTCTCTCACACGCTCTCTCACGCTCACTCTCTCACGCTCACTCTCTCACGCTCACTCTCACGCTCACTCTCACCCTCTCTCTCACGCTCACTCTCTCACTCTCTCACTCACTCTCTCACGCTCTCTCTCTCACGCTCACTCTCTCTCACGCTCTCTCTCTCACGCTCACTCTCTCTCACGCTCTCTCTCTCACGCTCACTCTCTCTCACGCTCTCTCTCTCACGCTCACTCTCTCTCACGCTCTCTCTCACGCTCACTCTCTCTCACGCTCTCTCTCACTCTCTCACTCTCTCTCTCTCGCGCGCGCACCCTGCGGAAGCCCCTCTCGTCGTGGGCAGCAGCAGACCGCGACGTCGGCACTCTCGCTCCTTGGGCACGCAACTGGCATCGTGATGCGGAATAAAATCGCACTGCGCACGGTGGCGGCGGCGCGGGGTGCCGGGGAGGATGCGGATGGAGGGTGGACATCGGTGACGAGGGGGACTGCCCTTCTTCCGGACTTGTCGGTGCAATAAATTCCACTCTCGAACAAAACGTTGCCCCCATCAAACTACTGTACAGCACAGCCCACACATGACTGCGGCACGGTGACGTCACCCTTCATCTGCACAAGGTGCACTTCTCTTGCGCAGCGAGATGGAGCAGCGCGCTCTCTCTCTCTCTCTCGTGTGCGCGTTCATCTTGGCTGTTGCCGCCACGTGCGCACAGGGGAAGGATGGGGAGAGCGAAGGATGGGGAGAGAGTGAAGGATGGAGAGAGAGTGAGCGAGTGGAGGGAAGGAGGGGAGGAGAGAGCGTGGGATGTACGCACCCTGCAGGTCGGGCAGTGACTCTGGCAGCGTGAGCAGGAACAGCAGAAGCCGGGCTCCGGGGAGTCGCGCGTCCATCCGCCCGTCTCTCCCGGGAGCTGGCGGGGGCCTCCGTGCCACCGCGTCCTTCCCGGAGGCTCCAGTCTTCTCTCTCCTCCTTCTCTTCCTATTCTTCCGCCTCCTCTTCCCTACTTCCCTTCCCGTGTGCGTGTGTGAGTCTGCGTGCCTGTGCGTGCTCGTGCCTGGAGCGGCGTGTGTTCCAGCGTGTGTATACGCGCGCGCGCGTGTGACTGTGATCTTGATTAGATTCGACCGGCAGGTACCCTTAATGTGTAAGCGTGTGTGTGCCCGTGTCGGCGTGTGCGCGCGCGCACGTGCGTGTGTGTGCGCACGTGTGTGTGTGTGTTCGCGCGCACGTGTGCGTGGTGTGTGTGCGTGGTGTGTGTGCCTTCCTCTGCCACACAGAGCGACGCGAGCCAGACCCCCCCCCCCCCTTGCTTGGGCAGCTTCACTCAGTCCCTGGGCCCCGTCTCCCCCGCGTCTCCCCCTCGCTGCACGCGGCGGCGGCGGTGGCGCTGCGCTGCTGCCGCCGCTGGCTGGACGGATGTGAAATAAGGCGCCGCATAATTACAGCTGCGCTAACGCGACTTGTTACAGCGATGCGGGGAGACTCGCGTAAACACAATGCTTTTTTCTTCTTGTTTTAATATTTGATGTGCACAATAAAAAAGAAAAATAAATTCTAGAGAACGCAGCAGCGCAGTCGCCCTCCGAGCCAGTTAAACCACCTTCACCATTTTGCCTTCCCACACCAGTCAGACTGGCAACACGCCAGGCGAACCGCCCGCTCTCTCGCTCGCTCTCTCCCCTCCCCTCCCTCTTTCCCTCTCTCCCTTCCCCTCCCTCTTTCCCGCTCTCCCCTCCCCTCCCTCTCCCTTCTCTATCCGTGCCGCTCTCCCCTCTTCTCCTCGCACCTCGTCCCCCGCCCGCTCTCCTCCTCCACACTCTCGCAGCCTCTCCCGGCTCTCTCCCCGCGCACAGAGCCCTTCTGCCGCTGCTCTTACTGCAGTGCGCGCCAGGTCCCCCCCCCACCACTATCCACCCCCATCTCCCGCTCCATCTCCCATCCGCGGCTCCATCCCTGCCCACACCCGCCCCCGCCCCAAGCCTGAGCTCGCTGCTGGTTCGCAGCGAGACGGAGGAGGAGGAGGAATGGTGGGGGCCAAGCAGCCTCCTCCTCCTCCTCGGCGCATCAATCAGAGGCCGCCGTCTCCTCGTCGACTCGCGAGGGAAGACCCTTAGCGAACACCTGAGCGACAAGGTCAGGAGGTCGAGAGATAACGCGACGGAGGTCACCGCGACATCTCCCGGCGCGTGCTACCGGCAGCAGCAGCAGCATCGTCCCGCATTGAGACGGAACATCTTCGCCTGTAAGGGTGTCCACAAGCACGCACACAGATCGTCGGCCATGATCAATCCACTTCTGGATGACGGCATCCCCAACACGTCGCCAGCTCGCACGGAAACGCGATGCAACGTTGGCGCACGAAGCCGCTTTCGTCACTCCATCTCCGCGCGTTCTCCGCCCTCTCTGGCGGTAGCGTCCCCCCCCCCCTCCTCCTTGAGCTGCCACTCCGTTGTAGGTCTCGACCCCACCGACCATGACCCCTTAAACAACGACGCTGCCTGCCGAGCCCACACTCTTCTGCTTATCAATCCGCGCGACCATCCGTGTGCTTCTTCCCATCCTGCGCCGCTGCCCGCTTCTTCGCGCACGCGTCCAGCCTCCGTGCCGTGTTCCCGTTGCGCGTCGTCCACGTGTCCCATCCGCGTGTCTGCGCAGGTGATGTGCGCTCATTTAAACGTCTTTTCTCCTTCAGCCGCGTGACAATCGGAAGCTATTCCGAGCACATTTTTTTTTCAACGCAAGGTGGGGGCAGGTGCGGTGAGGATGGAGGTGGGGCTGGGAGTGGGGTAGGAGGGAGGTGGGGTAAGGGGCGGTGGCGACCCCTGCTGACTGCACACAGCATAGTCAGTCTAAGCAGACCCACGAGACAGCACACAATGTGTCATTCGTCCAGTGGTTCTCAAACTGGGGTCCACGCACCCCTGGGGGTTCGAGACAAGACTAGATTTGTTTTAGAAGGTAAATGATCGAAAACACAAATTAAGCACGGGCACATACATATACAACTACTTTGTTTCATCAAACCTATGTATTTATAAACACGTGGTGTTTTAATCTTAATTTGGAGCTTTCGTGACTGCAGGAATTACTCTTTGGTTCTTTCGGTAAAGTCACGTATAAAGATAAAATTATAAATCATCAGGTATAAATGAAATAGAAAAAAATCTAACCAGAAACATATAGACAGACATATAAGCAGACAGATATCACAGAGATACATAGAGAGAACAAAACATATATATATCTCTGGGTGGTTAGATGTTTGTTTCTATTTCATTTATACCTGATGATGATTGCTTGTGTTGCAATCAAAACGTCGTATGCTATTGTTTAATTTATTATTTTATCTTTATACGTGACTATACCGAAAGAACCAAAGATGTGGTGTTTTTTTTACGATTGAGAACCAAAGGGGTGCAGGTTGCATTAAAGTTTAAGAACCACTGTGTTAGTCCATCAGCCTATGTATTGGCTCTTCACGCGCCCAACATTATTCAGCAGCATGTGTGAAAATAAGACGTGAAACTTTGGACCGGTTTCAACCTTCTGGGTCTCATCAGCAGCCGGGGTTACCAGATCGTATTGGCGGGGAATGATCCACAGTGAAAGAGATTCGCGCTCGGGTGACTTCTTTGGAGCGCCTGTATGGGCTCGCTTGTGATGAGGCGTTAGATGTTTGCCGAGGCTTGGCCAGCTTCGAGGTGCGGGATTGGTACCACTCACCCGCCAAGCGGTGAATGTGAACTCAGTAACGGGACCACAACTTTGTACGCGCGCTGCGTTGGCAGTGGCGCAACTCGTCCGAATAACGCAAGCCCGCAGCGGCTGTTACCGACGGGTTGCGTAACGCAATGAAGAGCACCGATGGCCGCGATGAGCGAGGGGAGACGTCCTCGACGTTGGCGCGTGGGGTAGCGACGAGGACGTTGACGGAGCGAATGGAGCCACGCGCGCCCTGCGAGGTGACACGTGGGGAGGCGCGCGCATGGCACTGATCGCCACGGCGGAGGGGCGTGTGCGCGAGGTCAACGCACGCGAGCTCAAGGGAGGGAGACATTTCGTCAGAGAGGACTTTCGCTGCACGAAACATATCCTTTGAGCAACCGGCCCCGGCTGAAAGGGTGCGTCATAGACTGCAGCCTCCTCCAATGTGCGCAGCGAGGAGAGGGCCACCGCGGGTCTGTCCGCCTTGCGCGCGTCGCCTCGCACGAACCCCTTCCTCCCGCGCAGTCGCCCCACCAGGGGCAGAGCTATTTTAGTCTCCTCGCAACCGGCGTCACCGACCCCCCGGCGAGAGAATCAAAGCGAGAGACAGCGACCCTGGGCCCAGCCGGGCGAAACGACGCAGCGTGCACGCGACCGTGCGTGCGTGCACCTCGTCTCCCCCGTGTCCCCACTCCACGCCGGGCCTCGTGCCCACGTGTGTCTCGCCCTCCCCTCCCGCTACTGCCGCCCCACCTCGCCACGGTGGCTAGGAGATGTTCACGACATCGCCTGGTCTACAGGAGGTTGCGGGTGCGATCCCGACCTTGACGATGCCCACCACATTTAGAATCAACATCACGCGTTTACAGTATTTGGCTGCTATACATTTCCACACGATAAGCCACTTGAGCTATTATTTGTGGCCAGGTCGCTTCTCAATCAGAGCTATATGATCATGGCTGCTGATGATGATGATGGACGCAATTGCAAATCGTTTTACTCCACCAGAAGTGTTGATGGGGGTGGTACCATGGGCAGTGGGTCCCCTACTCAGGACAGGAGTTTAACAATCAATACGGGGTGAAAACGTGGCCCTCCTGGTCTCCAGACAACCGTTTCCAGCTAGTGTCGCGTTGCGAATGTAGTGCTGTGTGTAGCTGGCCGCTGGATGTTTTCGGCCTAGGGTCCTGTGCTCACCAACGATATTAAAATATCCGACCAGTTGCTGCTGTCGCTGTCCACGTCAATTGACACCGCGCGGTGTCGTGAGCGGCGGGGGGGCGCAGTGGGGACACTCCGTGCCTCACAGCAAGCAGGACCTGAGTTCGAATCCCGACTGCGGCGCCTTTCATGTGTAGAGTTTGAATGTTCTCCCCCTCCTGTTCTGCATGGGTTTCCTCCACTTTCCCCCCAGAGCTAAACATAAAGGCAAAGGTCCTCCCGTATAGCCTTGAGACTATTAGGGCAAGTGTTGTTAGCGAGTAACCCATAAAAGCCGGCACGGCACACGAGGGGGAGTGGGTGGTCAACACCACGCCCGGCCGCCTTTGTCTCCCTAGTGTGCGATATTTACACACTGCACCAGGTACTCATTTGAGGTGAGTCGACATAGGGAAGCCGAGCTCAGATAATCGCCACTGTTAGTCGCTGGATTCGTAGTGCAGCGCGCAAACCGCTACACTACCGCTCCCCACTCCATAGCTAAACACACACACACAGTGTGTAACTGGTATTGGCTAAACATCCCAATGTTGAATAACAACCCCGCAAATCACTCGATTGGGAATCACAGCAGCAGCAACAGCGCCGTCGACTGCAAAAAAAAAAAACACTTGGCAAGACCCTACTGAAAAAACGGGTTTCCCTGGGTACAAAAAGATAATCAATGATTCTAAACAATATATGAATCACGGCAATATTTGTGTTTAAATAAATTGAGACTCAATGCCTGCACGTGCTAGAGGATGTGCATTGAACGCGAATAGTGTGACACTGACAATCGTGGCAGAAGGATTTGACAATCGCACCTCCGATTAGCACGGTTGGCTACGTACGGTGCCAAAAAAGTTCAACACACACCAGGGTGGCAGTATCAGCTAATCGATGCGCCTCCCCTTAATTGCATTACTGTCAGCGTCGTTTGGACTGTAACACGACGTGTCTTGTTACACGCACGCGGCCAGGTTTCATTGGCCCGTGTTGCGTAATGGCACGCGTGACAAAGTCTCGGAGTCTGTGCCGGATCTAAGCAGGGCCGCGTTCCAAGTCGCCAGTCTCGAGCAAAAAAAGCACTCGGGCCGTGAGTGATTTTTTTGCGTGCTAGACTCAAAATCGGTCGGCCGATTTTGCGGGCTCGGCGTGGAGGCGCGCCAACGTCCGTGAGACGTCGCCGCGCCAACGTCCGTGAGACGTCGCCGCGTGCCCGTGGCACATTCCGCGCGAGTCTGCTCTCATGTGCGCCTCCACCGAGTCCCTCCAGGTGGCTTGGATATTCTCATTTAATGCCCCCCCCCCCCATGAATCCTATCTTAGCTAACATTCTCAGGGGCGCCATGGTGGCGAGATGTTAACTACCTCGCCTGGTAGAC